GATTAAGTCTTCAGGCATCAAAACGCTTAAAGAAATATCACAGCTTTATTGGAGATCTCAAGAACTCGGTTTTGACAATATTTCTAAAAAGAAAAATTACATTGAATATTGGGGGAGACCTAAAGTCCCTATTACATTCTAAATACATCATCATCAAAATCTATAATATTTTTCCCAACAATTTCCCCCTTTTTGATGATGACAGACAAGTGTTTAAGAGTTCCAGTCGCTGTACTGAGAACTAATTTTATAACTTTCTTTTAGTTTCTCATAATATACAGCTTGTTAACAAAAACTCTTAAACAGATACAATTCAAATTACAATAATTCCTAAACCAAGTCTTGTCTTGAGATTTTGTGATATCTTCCGCCATTGACCGTTTTTCAGCTTCAGCAGATTCTGCTTGGCAGAGCGGTTGGCATTGCATTTGATAGATCTTTATTATCCAAAGTGGATAACCAAGATCTTAGGAAGCAACACATCTCTAAAAAAAAATAAAAACAAAAATGAAAGAAGAAAACAAAAGAGAGATAAAATGACAAGAAAGAAAAGGTTTTGAAAAATAGAATTGATTGTGAAAAAGATAAAATAAAATTTTTAAAGATGAAGGAAACAAAAAAAATTTTGAAAAAGAATTTTATGGAAAAATTTTAAAGAAAATGCTTGGGAGAAGGGAGCAGAGGCAGCACACAAAAAAATTTAAAAAAAAAATTGTAAGAAGAGTGGGGCGACTGCTCAAAAAAAAGATTTAGAAAAAGTAAAGAAAAAAAAAGAGAGAGAGTGTTGTTCCAGAGAAAGTGTATGGTATAATCCTGAAAAATACGAGAATTACACCATAAACTTTCTCTACTGCCGAGAATTGCACCATAAACTTTGAATTACTTTCCTTCTCACTAGGCTTTTCTCCATTGCCGTCTATGAGGGTGAGAAAGAAAAATTTCTTTTCTTAGACAGTGAGCTTGAAGACTTTCATATTTAGAGAGTTGTTTGTGATGGAAATGGATTGGAATATCTTGATTTAAATAGGGGAGGAGGAGGTTCACGGGTTCCATTAAGTGGGTAGTTGGAACGGTGAGAGTAATGGAGTTTCAACTTCCAAGAAGTTGAAAAGTAAAAGGAATCTTTTACCAGTTACCAATGAATTGAAACTGTTTCAATTTGAAAATCAGTTTCGTTTGGTTTGAGAAACGTAACTGTTTTAGTTTGGCTAAGCCCAAAAGAGTGGCCCAAAAAGAAAGCTATGTACTAAAGGGAAATTATTCCTATTGGGTTCTCAAGGCCCAAAATAAAACTATCATTTTTCATTCC